TTTTTTTTTTTTTTTTTTTTTTTTTTTATTTTTTTTTGCTAAGACTATGTAGCGTATCTTTTCGGTGAACGACAGCTTATTTGTCCAGCTTTTAAATAACCTACAAACTTTTTCTTCTTCATTTTTTCTATACTTTGACAGCTTAAGTGTCATTACAGCTCTGTATTGCCTAAAAAGTACCTTTGAAAATTGTAAGACTAAAAACTATATTTTCCAGAATATTTTGGAAAAGGTATGCGCAAGTTTTTTCTTTTATGCTATTCTAGATAAATTTTGCAGTTTGAAAGCATACTTTTTAGCGTTAAAAAAACAGCAAATAATTGCTTCTTGTTTTTGCTTTGTTTCAAGCACTGTTATCCTACTTAATTTATTAGTAAAACTTAGACTTTTTGTACAATAAATGCTCACAAATTTGAGAGTAAAGCGAAGAACATCAGTTTTGTATAAAATTTTACAGCTTATTTGCTGCTCTAGTTAAGCCGAGCAATAAAAAGCTACAACAAAATTTTCCAGTCCTGGATAACAGATAATTTGACTCTTATATGAACTGCACAGTGTGAAGTCTCTATCAGCGAAAACGATGAAAATGTATCGCAGCTGTAAATTCTTGCTGAAGCATAATGAGCCAAGCTAATGACAGTTAACTCCTTGTCCAACTGCAGTTTATTACTTTTTAGCATAAGCTTGTCAAAGCAAAAGTTTTCTAATGTATCAGAACAAAAAACAAACGCGTTCAGTATATATCCGCTTTTTATATGTGCACAGATATAAAAAATGGGACTAAAACAAAAATAAAGACAGTAACCAGAACCAAAAAATTTGACTTTCTGAAAACCAAAATAAACAGCCTGAATGCTACATGTTTCTTCAAAAAGGTCGACATATACACTAAATAATCAAGAGACTTGAAAGTTGCTTGGTCTTTGGATACCAACTGTACAATTCCGAATATGTGTCTGAGCTACAGATGTTCAGTATCAGAATCTTTTCCTTCTTTAAATAATTAAGCGAAATTTAGTTAGGGACATTTTTTTTAACATTTCTTTTTTAATTCTACTATACAACAGTTCTTCCACAGCTTCCTTCACTGTTTTAGAAAACACTTGATCAAGCAGAAAAAACCTGCAGTTTTCACTGACGCAGTTGTACTGTCTCTTACATTCTCACGTTCTACGACTGCTTTACACTGATAAGGTTCTTAGCAGTTTTTTGCAATCAGAAAAATTTAATTTAGACTTTTAGCTTGCAGTCAAAAATTGAAAATATTTGAATAGACTTTTACGTCACACCAAATCATAGAAACTTTTGGCATGCTTCACTGTCCTGATATGTTCCTGTCATCGTTGCTGTCAAGCGCTATTGCCGTTCCTCTATGATAATATTTAAGAACTACTTCTTGACTTCTCATTTAAGAACGCGATCGCGTTTTCAAAACTTGCAAAAGATAACACGCTCTAATAATTAAAAACAAATTGAAGAAATGTATCTTTTAATTCCATTAGATTTTGATGTAATTTCTTTCATGAATATGTATCAAAAAATTTTCAACAACGCACTCTCTCGATAGCTGCATAAAAAAAGTGTTTTTACTGCCAAAAATCTTAAAGACTTTAGCAATTAGTTTGCTCATTTTAATTTTGATACTCAGGACTACTCCAGAATTTTGTAAGACTTTGTTGAGATAGCGTAGGATTGTTTTACAACAGCTATAAAATGTACGAAAATTAATTATAGCAGTCATAACAAGCTTTTTTTTGCTTTTCACGTTGCGCAGTTCTTCCGCTGTTGGACCAGGATAAACAGATTATTCTTCCAGTGAAGTGTTTTTAAAATTAGAAAGTTCTTTCCTTAAGAAATAAACCTGTAGCAAAACCTCGTTCCATTTCACCATGGAATTAACAGGCGATATTAAATTTACAATGCATGATGCATTCATTGTCTTTTGCATAGTTCCCTAAAAGTTTGAGCACTGTTTTTTATCCCTTCTTTCTTTCTAACTTGCTAAATACAGCAGAAAATAGTGAGAAAGGTAATACAGTTTTTTGTCAAAATAAAGAAATTTGCTTCTTATTACACAATTATATATTCAGGTGAGGCTGATGAAATTTATGCATAAGGTAAGTAATCGAGAAATTGTTGGTATAGAGAGACCGCCCAAAATGCAGGTGTCACAAATGCCGATAGTCTTTTTTGCGTGTTCATTTCACAATGCTATTTTGCTCTTGATAAAAATTACTTTTTTTGCATTGAAATTCACACCGCTGTAAATCCTACTCGTATTTCACAACACGTAGTATTAAGTGATACTTAGATTTGCCCGATAAACCGTGTAGTATCAGCACTGCAAAGACACCGCAATCCAACGCCCCGCTGAAAGGATAGCAACCGCACTTTTTTTTTTTTCGATATTTGTTTTTTTGGGATCAACAAACTGTTGCTTATAATATGGTAAATTGCAGCGCACTATTTCACGGAGAGATTCACCCTCGGCTCTGAAGCCCCCTATCGCGTTTGTAACACGGAGTGGATGAAAAAGAATTAGTTGCTTTTATTTAACTCCCCTGTCTTTATGATGATTGAAACTTGTAACCTATGCTGCTTTGTATTGTTATATCTGGATGTCAGTTTCTGTATCTTAGTTTTTTATACACTGTCTGTCTTATAAAAAAAGCTCTTTTTTAATTCAGTGAACAACTTTATTTTGTGGCTTTCTAATTCTGTATTTTAAGTCTAACTTCAAAATATAGTTCATCTTTTTCGCTTGTAGTTCGTTTTTGTTGCTGCTTCTTCCAATAGGAAATTTGTTTCGTTTTCAGCATGCAAAAGGCGTTTATGCTTCAAGAACGCAAAGACTGATACCTTATTAGGTTTGGAATATTTTTCAGATTCTGTCGTTCACTTTAAGAAGAGGTCGCAAAAAGATTCTGGACAAAAATACAGACAAATCTGAAAAATAAATGTGCGTTAAGAAGAGAGAGAAGACAATAAGACATCAAGCAACATGTTGCAGGTCAGTCTCTTTAAAATCATCTCTGAAATTAAAAATTATAGCTCAGTTGATATCAACAAATTACCTCATATATAACTGCTATTTTTACTAGGAAAAACAGATGTCTTCTGTCCAGTCTCTTACGTTTCCAGGTTTATACGGAGATCCTTTCAGTTAATTGATTTCCTTATTCGAAAAGTGGCATAAAAACGAATTCTTGGACGTGTGCGGTAAAGAGAGTGAGATTAAGAGAAAGGCAGAAAGATGCGTTCACAGCTGAGTGTTTGAAGGGAAATGGAATTCTTGTTCTTCAATCCACCCCCTCCTGTTCCTCTGTTTCAATTTTTTTGTTGCTTGAAGCGGGTATTCTTGGCAACTTTACTTTAGCTGCTATCATCTATCACACGAATTTTGGAAACTTTATGGGGAATACTTTTTTTGTTGCAAAGCTTGATAATTAAATTGTGCGGTAAATTTATGTGAAATAACAACAACCAGCAAAAAAAGACAAACCGAAATAACAATAACATCTAAAAGCTATATGCAGACGGAAAGCAAAAACCAAAGTGTAACAAATAAAGAGGAATAAAGAATAACGTATTATCACACCTTCAAACTTCTATCGCTTTCACAGAAATCTTCCTCGTTCGCTTTTTAACTCCTTTATCTGTCCTAGTCTGTTCTTCCATGCCTTTCTTACCGGCCAAAAATCTTATTCCAGCTTATTTATTTTGCTGGTGAGATTCCTCTCCGTGCTCGTCCGACTTCCCAGATTGGAGTTAGCTACCAATGCGGCAAATGCGCTACACTGAGAGTCTTTTATTTTTTAGGCATAAAAAACTGGTCCTGTCTTCTTCGAATATCAACATCATTTTTTATTAAAGTCTCTACTTAACACTGCTTCACTACGTCATTTTTTCTCCGCTGGAAAGCAAAAGCCTCTGCACTGTTGAGATACCTTCTACAAAATTTTACCATTCTTATGGGTATGACAAACACTATCAAACAATTCCAGAATAATTTTTGTGATTTTTTTCCTTCGTCCTTTTTCAGGTTGTTTACAGAACTGGCCAAGCATATACTAACTTTGCGGCAGTATGTCGCCGAACTTTTCAAGTCGCCTGATAATCAAACTCAGTATTTTCCTGCTTAAAAAGGCGAAAGCAAAACGAAATTTTACGGAACATTTTTGAAGTATAGCTACTGACTTAGATGCTCAAACGATTTCTTAAAATTGCTATCCTTTTTCTTGTTATTATTATAAAGTGAAGAACTGTTTAACGATTTACATTGTAGAAGACATTACAGCAGTCTAACAGATCACACAACCCGTACTACCATCGGGTGCACAATAGTTTTGTCTCAGTTTGTTTAAAAGCAAAAAATAGTGTTCCTAGAAAATGAAGATGTTGCTGGAAGAAGACAGACTTATCACCTCATGAAAAAAATAGATCTTCAAAATCTGTGGTTTGCTTAAACATTGGAAGGAGTTTTTCCAAAGAAAAAAAAATTCTTTCCAGGGGTTTTTGCAACTGACTGGTGAAGTAAACATGCTCTGATAGCTGTAATTACAGATTTTATAACTCTGTCATTGTCAATAATTTTTGATGTCTCTTAATCGGGCAGTTACCTCTGCTTTATTTTTAAAAGAAACAAGATCAGCAAATTTGTATTTAACTTTTTAAAAATTTTCTTATGTAAACATTTGTTACTTTATAAGTACGCAGATCAGCAT